TTTGGAGACCTCCAACCCTTTATTGCCATACCCAGCTTATCTTCATGGAAAGAGGCATATATGCAAGGGCAGGATAGACACAGTGGTTCCATCTGACATCTTGCATCCTCTGTTCCTAATCTCTCTGAACTTATCTAGCCCCTCTCTTGCTTCCCACCACTGCCATATCCACTTTGAACCATTCTCTTATTACTAGAATCCTAAGCCTTACTGTCCCCAACTGGAGAGGCTGAAAAGCAAGGAGGATACTACATCCATACATGTTTTATCTTCCCTCTTGGACTAAAAGTGGGGATAAGGTCTTATCTATTTCATATGCTCAGTGTCTAGTACAGTACCTCACACATGGTAATAGATGTTTAATCAATGCCTGTTTAATTGCTATACCTTAGTTGCTTCACCTAAAACAGAGAATATTGCTTGTTAATTGTAGAAAGGCAATAATTTTGGTGCTGGGCAGAATTAGGCAAAGAAGTCATCAGCCCTTTTTGCCTTCTTTGAATCCAGATTTTGTGATTTGCATGAAACATAAGAGGCATAATAGGGTTAAGGAAAATCTTTCTCTAGGTTCCTTTTTAAATATTGAAAAGTGGAGGCACTTGTAATGATCAGGCTATACTGAATGATGATATAACCTTTAAGGACTGACCATAACTTAGATAAGAATATATCAAGGGTGGAGAACCTGTGGCCTCAAGGCCACATGTGGCCCTCTAGGTCCTCAAGTGTGGCCCTTTGAATCCAAACTTCACAGAACTAATTATCGAGGCCATAGGTTCCCCAGCCCTGGAGTAGACTAAAGGCCTGGAATGGAATCAAAGGAAACATTGTATTAAAATGAGGGACTTAAAAACGTCCACGGATTTTGGTGACTACATTTACAACACAAAGCTATAAGCTGAAGAGCTGGCAGACACATACTCCTGGGGGGTAAGAAGCTACACTGCAGGTATAGACCAAGAAACAATAGAGAAACCTAGCACATTAGCAGAAGATCCCGGCTTTGCAGAGACAGCAGCACTTGTCAAGGTATAAGACATGAGCGGCTTTATGACGTGGAAGGTGAATTGCTCCAATCATCTGTGTTCCCCAGTCATGCATTGTTCTCTTAAGTATTTCCCTCTCCACTGATAATTTGGTAATACATATATATGTATACATATACACACATACATATATGCATATGAGAAAATGTGTGTCTATGTATACACACACATGCACATATATATATATATATATATATATATATATACACACACACACACACATGAGAATATACTATGGGTATGGGGGAACTTTTTTGTCACATAGTAATGGTGTTGCTATCATTTTGAAAGGATGTGAATCCAGGAGACACTTTGAACATCCCAGTTTTCTGATGACCTGTGTAAGAATACTTTCTACCTTATCCACTAAATCAACTATAATCTTTTCCTTCATCCCTCATCTAAGGAGAGAAATGTAAACGCTTTGCATAAGGCAAAAAGAGGGAGAATACCTACCCTTTGAAGCAAGAGTACTTGTTTCTATTTAATCATGGAGGCAGAAAATGAAACCGTATGCAGGAATAACAGAAAAAAAAAACTGCACTCACCCTAAAATTGCCAGGGTGTATTTGACAGACTGCTTATTTTTTTACCTGTAGGCCCTTTTCCAACTAAACACAAAAACTAAATGAGAAATTATGCTACTACTTTAGGCTAGCTTAATTCAGGTGTGTGGGAGAAAAGGAGAGGGAAGCTCATTTTCCCTCCACACTCATGAGAATTTTATAGTGTTATTGATAAGGATGTGTACCATAATACTTAGATGACCCTCAATATATACTGGCTGAATGACTGATTTAATGTTTTAATATGCTGCTTCAAGGCAAAGCTACTTCAGTGAGAGTATGGTCAGTACCGTTAGTAATACATGCAGTTTTTGCATTGCAGGGCACTCTTAAAGAAACTGCTGTATTCTATCCCCCTCAAATCTTCATTAATGGTCTTTATGCCAAGCCCTTGAGAAATTTATAGCACACACACCTTTGTATTTAAATTTTAAACTTGTCAGCCTATCCCTAGGCTTTGGACAGGTTTACTAGCTACAAAATCTCCTATGTGTAATGTGCTCTCTAGAACACATTGTGAAACATATGACGCTACTTTGTGGAATGTAAAGGAAAATGACTAGTTGTGAGTTACAAAACACACAAAGCAGTCCAGTTAGACACTTTAGAAAATGGCCTGGAGCTTAAAGACAAACCTTAAACCTTTATTGAATACTGCTATTTTAGGAGGAGGAGGAGGAGGAGGAGGAAGAGGAAGAGGGGGAGCAGCCAGATAAAAAGACTTCAACGGTCACTTCAAAAATACCCTAGCCAGGGGCAGCTAGGTGGTGCAGTGGATACAGCACTGGTCCTGAAGTCAGGAGGACTCTAGTTCAAATCCAGACTCAGACCAAACACTTGACACTAGCTGTGTGACCCTGGGCAAGTCACTTAACCCCAATTACCTTAAAAAAAATACACTAGCCAATCGGTTTTCAAATTTTTACCCCAGGATTGACATATTAGAAGTGTTCACATTGTTCTGAGAGGTACAAGGCCTGCCTTACTTCATATAGTCATTAAGCAGGTGGACTGAAGGACTAGATTCAGAGGTAAATTTTGTTTTAAAAGGACAGATAAACAACACATCACTCTTTCCTAAAGGCTGCATTTTGTCTTCAGTCACATGTTTGAGATACACACACACACACACACACACACACACATATGTATACACAGACATATACATATATATTCAGTTTTCTTTGTTACAAATAAAAATGTTCCATATAAACAAGGCCATTTCTGAACAGCAAATTAACTAGCTACTCTGCTCTAAACTCAAACAGAAATGGATCACTGTTGACTTCATATTGACCTAGAAAATCACCAATGCACATTATCTATGGTGCATTTTTATTTATTTTGTTAAACATTTCCTACATTTTAATCTGGTTTGGGCCCACCCACTCACAAATTTTGCAGGCCCTAAGTTTGACACCTCTGCTCCAAAGCACATATCTATTCCTGGTTTGCTCTGTTTAGATTGCTGAAAGAAAGAAAAATTTTATTATTATTTTTTTTTCTAATGGAAAAGCACACTGGGCTTGGTGATCTGGATTTTATTTTCAGCTATCACTAATTGTGTGACCTTAGACCAGTCATCTCTCTGAACTTGTTTCCTCTGTTAAATGGAGATGCTAATTCGTATGAAATGCTCTGTAACAGGTAAAACTTTACTAGGTTATATTATATATATACACACACACACACACACACACATCTATGGTGAAGATTTTCTGAGAAAAGAATGCAAAGTTCCACTAAATATTGGATCACTTCAGAACAATGACTTAAAAATAGTAAGAAGGGTCAACTCTGAAGGTGAGAGCATTGAGAAAACTTACTTTCTTTTGTTAAAATAATGCATTAGTTTTTTACACCACGATCCTCTCCAATAATGTCCCCTTTCATAATTGCTTGTATTAGGAAAACAAAAACAAAAAGTTAAGTCAAAAAACTTCTCTAATAGAAGACTTAACATTCTGTCCCCATGGCCTAAGAGGAAAGAAACCCATATTGATGCAGGATGGAAATGTCCTGTCTGCTACAGGAAGCTGCTAGAAATAATTTTTAATAAGTCAACTTACTTATACAAACTTTATCTGCAGTCACAACTAGTTAATCCACATCAAAGTTATTCAGTTGTTTCAGCTCCTAACTTGCTTCAATTTACTGAGCTCATAATACTTTCTGAGAAATCAAAGTTCTTTTATAGGTAAAGATGATGCCAATGAAACTTTGGAATCATTTTCTTGTAGTGATGGTGAACTGAACCAAGTCGTTCATATCCACTCTTGGCTTGGTCTTTTTTTAAGCAATAGGACTCAAATATAGGTTGGAGCAGGGTAAAATTTCTGCATCCCCCCCCCCCCCCGCTATTTTGCAAAAAGCTGTGACATTTAAATAGCTTTCTCAATCTGCCTAAATAATAGGCATGACAGCAAAAAAAAAAAAGCTAATGTGATTTTAGGTTGTATCAAAAGAGGGAAAATGTTCAGAATGAAGTTATGGTTACTGTTTTGCTGCCACTACTGGTCATGTAGAACATTATGTTTAGTCCTGACCTCCCCAGTTGGTAAATGAGCTTATTTAAATAGCATTTAGCTTGTGTTTTTCCTCACATAAAGGACCTGGAGATGTTTAGGCTGAAGACTTAGGTCAGGACATGAGGCATTACCATCTGTTTGATGCTGCCTTTCTAAGTACATGAGATTTTCCCATCTCATTTGCAGTTGAAATCTTTTATAGATGTCTCTCCCCATCAAAAATGTCAGCTCTTTGAGAGCAGGGATTATCTTTGTTTTCAGTATCCCCAGATCTTTACACAAAAGCCCTTAGTAAAGAGTCACTTATTCATTAATTCACTTGATTTGCAGGGATTTCATAGTGCTGCCCTTGGTCAGGAAGACTTAAGAGTTCTAATTCTGCCTCAGATACTTACAAGCTGTGAGATCCTGGGCAAGTCACAACCTCTCAGCCTGTTTCCTCATGAAAAATGGTGATGATAATAGAACCTACCTCACAGGATTGTTGTGAAGATAAAGTGAAATTCTATATTAAAACCTTATATAGATGCCAGTTACTATTATTAGGAAGAAATTTTAGACTTGTTCTAGGGCAGAACTAGGGACAATCAAAAGAAGTTACTAAGAGCCAAATTTAGGCTTGATGTAAGGGAAAATTTCCTAACAATCAGTGCTATTAAGATGGGCTACCTTGAGAGAGTGAGACCTACCTACTTTACTAGGTCTCTCAAATGTAGACTGGATAACCACTTGTCAGAGATGTTGTAGAGTATTTTAAATCAGGTTGACATAGATGGCCTCTGTTGTCATTTCCAATTTCAGCTGGCTATATAACATAAGAATCTTATTGGCACTGTTTTGATTTTAAATAGATGCTTTATTGATTTTTTTTTACATTGCTGTCACTTCTCAATAATCCCTTCCCCCACCCCAATTTACCCCTCCATTCTAACAAATAAGCATAGTTAAGCAAAACAAAACGACACATCAGCCATATTTTACAACACAGGTCTCATTTCGTATATAGGGTCTATAACATCCCTGGAGAGAGGTGTGTTTCACAGGCAGAACTCTGCATTGCACTGATCAGACTTCCAGTGTCTGCTGGGGTACAGTCATTAAGCATTGTCTTCTTTTCCTTCTGCATCAATTCGTGAAAGTCATTCCAAGTTTGTCTGAATTTTTCATACTTGCAATTTCTTATGGCACTCTAGTTATTTCATTACATTAATATAACAAAATTTGTTCAGCCATTCCCCAATTTGTGGGCACCCAGATTGGAGTATTTTTGCTATCAGAAAAACTGCAGCTATACTATTATTTGTGCATCTGGGATCATTCCTTTTTGTCTTTAACCAACTTGGTCTATATGCAAAGTAGTGATTACTGGGTCAAAAATTATACAGAGTACAGTGACTCTTCTATCACGATTTCAAACTTTCCCAGAATGGCTGGTTGGACCAATTCACAGTTATACTACCATTACTTCAGAGTGCTTTTTCCTCCACATAATATCCTCAGCATCACTATTTTCATCTTTATCAAGTGGTGAGGTACGAAGTTTCAGAAATATTTTAATTTACAGTTCCTCATTAAAAATAATTTGAAGCATTCTTTGAAATGGTTGCTGGTAGTTAATCTTTATTCTTTTGAGCACACAGCTATTGGGGAATGGCTTTCAAGCTTTACTTATGTGCACCAATTCCTTTCACTTCCTGGACATCAGACATTTATCAGGAACATCTCATGTTACATTTTTTTCACATGAAGATTCTGATATGAAACTTTTACACTTCTCCAAATCTCAGCAGCATACAATATAGAGACAGAAGCTGAAAAAAGTCACAAATAGTACAAGGAAGAAAAATGACAAGGACTAGAGAAAACATGGTTCTACACAGAACTAAGAATTATTCCTTGACACATAGCAGGCTGGTTTTATTTTCAAGACACAATGATACATAGGGACTCAGTGAAAGCTTCTGCAGCTCCACATATACTCTGTTCCCTAGGTGTCTGGCAAAATATTCCTGACATTCACTGCAGCCCTTACTAATACCTGCCAATATAATATAGAATGGGTGATTTTATCAGTGTAAGTGCTCCATCCACTGACAAATTTCAAAACTCTCCTGTAACATAATGGATGGTCCCATAAGTTGCTACCAGGCAAAAAAAAAATATATCCATTACCTGGAGATCAACCTTCAGGCAATAAGCCTCCTTGAACTTGACTAGGCTGGTCCTCAGGCAACAGATCAACAGCCTGCTTTCAGCTCATAACTGAAGCCTTTACAACTTGGTAGAACCTGCCCGAGGCTGTGCTCTGATGGCATAACCATTAAAACTCAGGACCACCTCTAGTCAAGGAGGAGGCATTACATTAGAACTTAAGTAGACAATAACTTAGACATATACACAATTTGTTAAGGTGGAAAGAAGCATACTTTAAGAGTCTGGTAGTATTAAGTAAACTTATGACTCTCTGATGCTCCAACATCACAAAGGTTGGGATAGGATAATTCCAATTTCTGTACTTGTATTCAATTTTTGGTGTGATACAAAGAACTGAGTACAGGTCTGTTGTCTTATCTTGGTGTTGGAGGGTGATCACACAGCACTCACTTCTCTGGGCCTGTTTCATCACCTGTCTAATAAAGAGATTGGACTATCTGATTTCTAAGGTCCTTTCCAGTTCAAATATTCTATAGTGAACTCTATTCAATACTGTCATAAAAAAATAAGCCACTTCTACCCCCTCCCACAACATAGAAGGCACTTTGCTGTGTGTTTTCTCCAAAGATTTTGTAATATGAAAAATATAAAGACAAATAGGCAGAATTAAGGGCCAAGTTTTAAAAATAGCTTGTTGTATTTTCTAAAGGGTTATAATTTTGCATTTTTGAAAGTAACAAATAAAGAAAAATGGGGATCTTTACTCTGGAAACAGGGACCAGGAATAATATCTTTTCTTTTTAGGGGAGCCTTAAAATACTTTTTTAACCTTTATTAGACACCAATAAAGTTAACTTAAAAACACTATTTTCAAAATCACTTTTAAACTATTTAACTCAGTTTTTACTACCTTTTTTCCCTACTAAACTCTCAAAGAATATATGTCCACTCCAATGACACTGGAATATACAGATGTCTTTTTCCCCCCTCCCTTTTAAGCTTATTATTAGAGTCTCCTTTCTACAGAAGACAAACTGCTTAGAGAGAACTGGCTTCCATGTCCATCAGATGTTTTCCAAAGTATAGCTGTCTGGCATACTGTAGACCAAAATTTGGTTCACGGACTTAATTCTTCACGTTTCACTTGTATGTATGGTGTTACCACCTGAGACAGAGAAATAGGGTTATATTCCTGGAAGGACATACTTACTGGATTCTATACTTAAAAAGAACAAACAATTAAGAATATTGTATATAAGCAAGGTCATCAAAGTATTCTTCAAAATGAAGAGAAATATAATATTTCCTAATTAAAAGACAGCAAAAACAGATGAAAAAGCCCTTAGGATAACAACTTGACTTTGTATTTTATTTCAATGGGTACACTTCATTCATTGTCTGCATGAAACTAGGTTACATCTCCAAGGGCCAAAGTCATTGTTATTAAACAACTAAATATGCCACTGCTTCCATGCCCTCCTTTATCTCCTTACTTCGTCAGTCTCATCTGGCTCTTTCTCCTGATGCTCTCTTTCCCACCTCATTTCTTTCAACTCTTGTCTGTATTTCCGTTCAATGAACCGCTTCTGATGGGCCATCTGGGGAAAGTTATCTGACACAAGGAGAAATATTTTACATTTAATAAAAAGCAGCCACCAGTGCAGAGAATACTTCAAATTGCTTTCCCCCTCTCTCTTTTGTAAGGAAAGGAGAAAAAAGCTAGTTTGTTATTTTCTCTCATTCATTCAGCACTCAAACAAATTGGGAAGTCCTGGATCATCCAACCATGATTTTAAGATGACTTTAACATCTGCTACTAACTTTGAGTATGAGAATCATCAAAGCAAATAGAAATGTTAAAATGCACAGGCACAATTTGGGAATTTTCCCTCTCACATGCTTTAAAATCACTCTTGCAACAACAAGTGCTTTACAGGGAAGATTAAAGGGCACACTGAAGTGGGGCTGTACACACGGTATTGTGAAAGACATTCTACACTAAAATCTCTGAAAAAATAAATGGCTCACACTATCATGCTGTTATCTTTGGAGAACTGGAGTTTTTGAAAAGAAAACAGCAGAAGAGCTATTTGGTTAGTTAGTCTGACCACAAAAGCTCACACTAACTAGCCAAATAACATGAAAATGAAAGAATACATCAAGATGTAAGTAAAAAAAATATCATCTTTTACTTTTGGAAAAAAAAACAGGAATAGAGTTCATTTCCCTGAATACTACAGTATAGCTCTATTTCAGTGGCTGTCCAGCCTCTGCCTGAATACCTTCAAGAAAGGGAAACCAGCCACATCTCATACCACATTGGGACAGTTCTAATTGTGAGGAAGTCTTCCTGGACATTAATGCTAAAGCGGTCTTTTTGCAACTTCCACCGACTGTTCCTGGTTCTGCTTCTGGGGCCAAACACAACAAATCTAATCCTTCCTCCAAATGATAACCTCTTTAATATCTGAAGACAGCTATCTCCCAGAGGGACAGCTGTCCTCTTAAGTCTTCTCTTTTCTAGGCTAAACTTCCCTGGTTCTTCAATTGACCTTTGTATGATACAGACTCAAGGCCCTTCATCATCTTGAGCATCCTCCTCCAGACACTCTCCAGCTTATCCAGCTTCTTAAACTCTGGGGCAAAGAATTGAGCACAATATTTCAGATAAAATCTGATGAGAGTAAAGTACAATGAAATGTTCACTAACCTGTTCCTGGAAGCTATGCCTCTCTCCATGTCACCAAGTATTCATTACCTGTTTTGGCTGTCTTGTAACACTGAGCTTATGGTCTACTAAAACTCCCAGATCTATTTCATACAAAAGGATAACTATGTCTCGCCCACCTTAAACTTGTGAGGCCGATTTTTTGTGTCCAAATATAAAATTTGCATTTATCCCTACTGAATTTCATATTACTAGATCCAGTCCAATTTTCTAGCCTGTCATTTTTGGATCCTGACTCTTATTCAGTGTATTGACTATTCCCTCCAGCTCTGTGTTGCCTGAACATGATATTTCTACCTTCTACATCTTTATCCAAGTCACTGATTAAAAGTGTTAAACAGTAAAGGGCCAAGCACAGATCACTGCGGTAGGTGCTCCACTGGTGGTCTCCTGGAATACTGACACTGAACCACAAACAACATCTTTGTGAGTCCATTTCTTCAACTTGTTTTGAATCCATCTAAATTGTCTAGTTCCTATGTCCAAACGGCTATAAAAATGTGCATAACCCTTTGACCCAGCAATAGCACTTCTAGGGCTGTATCCCGAAGAGATCACAAAAATGGGAAAAAGACCCACATGTACAAAAATATTTATAGCAGCTCTTTTTGTGGTGGCAAAGAATTGGAAATTGAGAGGATACCCATCAATTGGGGAATGGCTGAAGAAGTTGTGGTACATGAATGTAATGGAATACTATTGTGCAATGAGAAATGATGAGCAGGCAGACTTCAGAAAAACCTGGAAAGCCTTGTAAGGACTGATGCTGAATGAAGTGAGAAGAACCAGGAGAACGTTGTACACAGTAACAGCCACACTGTACGATGACTAGCTTTGATAGACTAAACCCTTCTCAGCAATGCAAGGATCTAAGACTTCTCCAAAAATCTCATGACAGAAAATACTATCCACATCAAAAGAAAGAACAATGGAGTTTGAATGCAGATTGAAACATATTATTTGCTATTTTTTTCTTCTGTTTTGTTTTGTTTCCTCTTTCTTGTGGTTCATCTTATTGGTTCTAATTCTTCCTTACAACTTGACTAATGTGAAAATATGTTTAACAGGAATGTATATGTATAGCCTATATCAGATTGCATACCATCTTGGAAAGGGAGAGAAAAATTTAAAACTCAAAAGCTTATGGAAGTGATTGTTGATAAATCAAAAGGAATTAACAAAAAATTAAAAAAAAATAAATTGTCTGGTTCATTATCTTTCCATCTTCTGCCATGAACTATAACAGATGTTCTATTAAAAGGATCCAATTGTCTATAAGCCAGGTCTGTCTTCCTTAGATCACAGGAAATATTTCCATGTTTGAGGATCCTGTGGTTGGGCACTTACAGTTTCTAAAAATTTACGTCCTGCTTCATTCAGTCTAAGTTTTTACAACTAATGAATCTGGGTTGCAACTTCATACTCTGAAAGCAGATCTAATACACAAGATACTTTACTTAGGCTGAGCTATTTGAAACCTAAATTAATTGGGCCTATAATTTATCAATTCAATTTAAAAATCTAAAATTTATATATTTAATTAGAAGAAGGTAGGTGACTCAGTGGACAGAGTATTAGTTCTGGAGCCAGAAAGACCTGAGTTCAAATCAGAACTCAGATACATTTTAGCTGTGTGACTCTGGGCAAGTCATTTAACCTATCTGCCTTAAACCACTGGAGCAGGAAATAGCAAACCACTTTAAGAAAACCCCATCGACAGCACTGGTATGTTATGGTCCATAAGGTTATGAAGAGTCACTCACGACAGGACAACAACAAATATTTAATTAGAGTAGGAGATACTTACGTATCTATGGATCAACTCTCATGTTTATTGTGGTACAGGGAAAATATATCATTGTGTAGTCTCAGAAACCCTTTTTGGAAGGAGTAATTAAATCAATTTTATCTTCCAATCACCCTATCTCAGGGCAAAGCTGATTCAGTTAATGGCTATACTGTATCAGGTTCTTAAGGCATGTAAGTAACAATCAGAAAATATAAACCAAAGTTGGTTGATTATTACACTATGTAGGCCAAAACAAATTTTTACAAGATCACGTTAAGAAAAAAATCCAGAATATGCTTTAAAAAAGCATGCTAGTATTAATACCGACTACTTTAAGCCCATACTTATGCAATTTCAATACAAACAGTTATGAAGAAAAAAGTAGGAATATACAATAATATTACTATTTGTTGTTCTGTTCTCTGCTTTCCTTTCTATAAAACATTAAGCATGTTGTGATCTTATAACACAATAGATATGGGGATCACCTTACATTTTTCAAGGGCATCCATTGCAGCTCCCATTTCTGCTTGCTGAATACTATCAAAAAAGAAAGAAAAGTTGAAGTATTATCTAAAAATTAAATAGTATTTTCTGGAAACATATGTATAGTTATAAAATAACAATAATGGCTTTCATATGTAGCTTTTGGAATTAGTTACATAGGATATAAGCATGAGTGTGTGTGTGTGTGTGTGTGTGTGTGTGTGTGTGTGTGTGTGTGTAATTTACAGTTATATAGGATCAAAGAGCTAGAGCTGGAAAGGACCATAGAAGCCCTCAAGTCCAGGGTTACATCTTTTATTAACCTCAGACATCTGCAGGTACAATATTTTCTAAAATGATCTACCATTAATTTGCATGTTGCTATTGTAACTTATCCTCTCCACTGATTTATGGTCTCATTTTCTCATTCTCAATTTTCATTCTCTAGTTCAGAGTTGAGGCTCATTGGTCTAATGTCAAACAAGAAAGCTTAGTCTGCAATCACGCATGCCAAATCTATTTAGTAGTTAAAACATCAAAATTAGGTCTCTTGAAGATGGAAAGGCGATTAGAGGTCATTTATATTTATCCCATCCCCATATTTTATAACTGAGGCAACTGAGACCCAAAAAGACAAAGTGCTATTTGCCTGGGGTCAAAAACAAATTAGTTGGAAAACTGAAGCTAGAACTCAGGTCACCTGAGTTCGAGGCTAGTGCTCCTGGACTACACTGTGTAACCCCTAGAATTGTTAACTTCGGGCTTCTCACATAAAAGAAAGGTCTTCAAAATCTAAAAGCCAAAACCAAAAAAAATTATTTTCTCCCTACCTTGGGCCTTTACCACAGCCTATTCTTTCCCCTTTGAAATACACAGCCACAGTATAAGTTCTTGCATGAGATGGCCCCACTGTCTGAAGAGTCCTGAGAAAGAGAGATATATTATTTTTAGTAAACTAGTCTCTTCCCAATTGGAAATTACATAGTACTCCAAGAGCAAACAACTACTCAGCACCTAGGTGGGGTGGGGTAGGCAGCAATAAGAGTGCTGGTGAAGGAGTAAGGGTTAAAAGTAGGTATTTGTAGGGCAATAAATTAACAAACATTCAGTGTTTTTAATATGAAATAAGAAAAATTCTGTTTGGAATGCTTTTCTCCCCCAAACTAGATCTTAGGAAATATCTCTCTTAACCATCTGAAATCCAAGATACACAGGAAATAACATAAATATATAAAACCAAAAACCTACTTCCAAATTACAAGTGGTCAAAGGATATGAACAAATAGTACTCAAAAGAAGAGTTACAAACTATTAAGAATCATAAGAAAGATTATTCCAAATCATTAATATAAAAGAAATGCAAATCAAGACAACTATTAGGTTTTACCTAACACCCAGAACTCTGGCAAAGATTAGAAGGGTCAATGTTGGAAGGATGAGGGAGGAAAAAAGACACTCTGTTGGTGGAACTGTGAATTGTTCCAACCTGCCTGGAAAGTAATCTGGAATTATACTAAGAAAATAATTAAATGGCCATACCTTTTGACCCAGAGATCCCACTGCTAGGCATATGCCACAAGAAGGTCAAAGACAGAAAGCAAATTCACATATATATCACATATTCATTCACAGCAACACTTTTTGTGGTAGCAAAGAACTGGAAACAAAGTAAATAGCCATCTACTGGACAATGGATGAATAAACTATGGTACATAAATGTAATGAAATATTATCACACAATGAATATGACAAATACACATAAAATAATGCCAGATGAAGTAATCAGAACCAAGAAAAGAATATTCACAATGACTACAAAAATAAAAATGGAAGTAACAAAATCAAACTAAATGCAGAGTAATTATAACAGCCAAGGTTGGCCATGACAAAGAGATGAGCAAATGTACCTTCCTCCCCTGCTTTGCAGAGATAGGAGGACTAATTCTGAGGAACACTGCACAGACTTTCAGACCTGGTTGCTTTACTGGTTATAGTTTTATTGAATGTCCTTTTCCATCAAACCCTGGCTGTTTTTGTTTTTTTTAAAAGCTTTATTTTTTAAGAGAGATGGCTCACTGGGTACAAGAAAGGGGGGAGATATATTCAGAAACGAAGTTGTTATAAAGACAAAACATAGCAATAAAAATTAGCAAAAACAAAATATATTAAAAAACCAAAGTTAAACCAAACAAGCAGACACAAAAAATTGAAGTTGGAAGCAAAATAGAAGAAAGAAATTCAAAATCATAGGATCACAGATTTAGAGCTCAAAGACAGGCCATTATAGATCAACATATTCATTACACATGAGGAAAATGAAGCCCAGAAAAATTAAATGATTTAACAAGATTACACAAGTACTAAGTGACATAGGCAGGATATAGTTGCTGTTTTTGAGTTTTGCCTATCAGGTGTTACATTTTCAACAAAAATTACTTTTTTCAGTCTATTTGTAAAATGTTAAATATAGGCCATAATTTTAGCAGAAGAGAATTCATTAGTAATATACTTTACACCTCTTCTGTATGATTTCACTTCCTTCTAAGGTTCTTTCAACTATCAGGACATATCAGAAAGATCAAAAAAATTTAACTTCTGATCATCTGATAACTTTTTAAAGAAAAAAAAAACAATGGCAATTCAACACATAAAATAAAACCTAAAAAAGACATAGCGCAGATTCCAAATGCAATAGAAAAGATAAACTGAAGGAGGAAATTAAAAGTAGTTAAAGAAAATAACAAATATAAAATGATCTTGAAACTCTATTCATCATCTTGATAAAACTGAATCATATCTTTTATTTTCAACACGGGGGGATTTGTGAGTAGGGATAATTTTCTTTGTGTTTATTCATGCTGGAGAATGAAAATGGCAAGCTTTCCCTGGATAAACAAAGAAAAAATGGATAAGGTCTTTAAGGCATATATTATCACAACATATTTCCATTAAATGTGATCACTGATTCAGAGCTAGAAGAGACCTCAGACACCATCCAGTCCAGTTCTCTCTTTTAGAGATGAGGAAATTGAGGTCCAGGGTTATGCAGACAATAGCTGCAGTGTAGGGATATTAACCCAGATCCCTACACTCCAAATGCAGCTTTACCAGCTTGCTTTTATGGAATCATAATCATCACTTAAATGAGAAAACATTTTAAACTTCCTATGTCATACTTTGTACTATCATTACATTCACTAGGAACAGCTTAGTTTCTTTCCTTTATCCTCAGAATAAATCAAACCCTCTTTCATAGGGACAACTTTCTGATATTGACATCCGGATTTCATTTATAGCGTATTGGTAAATAATTTTGCTGTTCTATCTCTGTACCTCAGCTTTTTCTTTATAAAGCAAAGGTCAATTAGCCAGTTAGTATAATCTTTTGTAATATCCAAATGAAAGGATATTCTATAAGTATCTTAGAGAACAATTTAAAACCCACAGATGAAGTTCTGAAATGAATTTATTTAAGCCACTTGGAGGTCTTATGGTATTAAAAATTAATGTGGAGTACTCTCTACACAAATATATTCTATTTAAGTATATAAGTTCTAGTAAAATAATAAAAAATGCTTTTAAAAAGCAGGCACACTTTAAAGTGCTTCTGTCTTTGCTCAAAATTTTTCTGGATTTTCCTTTAGAGCTTGTATATGAGCCATAAAAAGAGATCAGTCATTACTTTATAATCACACCTTTTTTTGACCAAAACCAGTACTGTGCAGTTTAAACAACAACCCATTCAAAAGCCCTGCCTTTTTTCTTTTTTCACAAAGAAAATTCACCCCAAAGGAAGAAAGATTTGTCGTCACTGAGGATGTCAATAGTTGAAGAAAAAGGAACAAGTTATATTTGACATACTCTTCTAAGTCTCAACGGCAACTGAAGAGCTACTTTAAAGTAGAAGATGAAGGCTGATTGGGGATAAGACTAAGGTTAAGTAACTGACCCACAAACCTATAAACATCTTAATAGTCAAAATAATGTGCCACAAGCCCTGAAAGTAATTCCAAAAGAAGAGTTCCAAGGATGCTCTCTAAACAACAGCAGCATCACTGAACCAGTACATGGCTTTCAGATGGGCTGAAGAGAATAATCATTATCTGGATGTATAAATTCAGCTCTGTGTGTTAGACCTGTTAAATTAATTTTATAGTTGCATCTACAATATACACAGAAGGCAAGTGTCTTTTTTTTAACCCAAGAAATTTTTATTGTTTTTATTTTACAGCCATTTATGCCATGAATTCATAGGGGATCGGTCCCAACAGCTCACGTTCCTAGCCATTGGTTCTCACAAAGTGTGCTTCTCTGGGTGGGGCAGGCTGGTGCTTCAGTTGAACCCAAGTGCCTTTTTCTTTGGCCTCCTTCTTCTTCTGATCATTTTCCCTTTACCCGCTTCAGGAAGCTATCTCTGCTCTTGGAATGCTTAATATGTTCAATACGCACATTAATTCTCTTGGCTGGAATCTTGCCCTTAACCTGTTTGTTTACAACAATGCCTACAGCGTGTTGAATAACATTATAGACCCGTCCAGTCTTGCCATGGTAACATTTGCGGGGCATTCTTTGCTGAACTGTGCCCATACCCTTGATATCTACAATATCACCTTTCTTTTATATTCGAATATACGTAGCCAGAGGGACAACACCATGTTTTTGAAAGGGCCTAGAAAACATGTATCGAGTCCCTCCCTTTTTTCCTTTTGTGTTCGTCATTTTGGCAACTCTTTGGAATATGGTGGAACCGGCGGAAAGGAAGTGGCAAGTCTCTTTTAATAAATATACATGTAATAAATAGAAATTATATGACAGTTTATAGTCTAGCAACAACTAAAAAGAGTGCAATGGAAAAGATTATCCAAAAATTAACTGGAAAAACTACATATAAGATTTTCTTATCTCTGAGAAAATTAGTTTACTGATTCAATTATTAACATATAAGAATAAGAGAATTTTAGAACATAAAGAGAACTTTAAAATCATCTAGTTCACACCTTCATTTTACCCCTAAGAGTATGGGTCAGGTCAAAAAGGTTAAGTGAGTTGACAACCACGGCAAGATGGGCTGGAGTCAGAACCCAGGTCTCTAGACTGTCCTTTCCACTGAAAAGTGACATATGATTTTACCTTGGTCACATGAAATATTTTCTAAATCAGGATAATCAAGTCTGAGTATACCATGTACAAAGACCATGGTCTACAGGTGATAGCTTACTTACTTATAGAGAGGAATGTCGGGCTCTTTTCCCTCTGTTCTAAGGGTCAGGCAGCACTGCTGAAGTTGAGATTTAGGATCATTCCAATCCTGATTCAAAATGAACTCCTGCAGTAAGTCCCCAAAAGACTATTCAATAATGGTTTTGGCATCACTGACTATTAAAATAACAAACTAAAAGAATATCTAGAGTTAAAAGTTTTTTTAAGAACTAACCTTTAGCCTTGGAAAGAAGCATACATTCATGAAAGTGTGAACGTATTCCAAATCCTTATCAATGTATAGTGCAGCAATAAATGCTGAAAAAGAGAATATTTAAAAAGATCTTTTAAGTAAAACTATGTTAACCACCATCAATGAGTCTAGATCATTAAAAGAAAATATAATAACATTCAAAAATTCTTGGCTCTCTTTTTCCATTGATGCCACTTCCTATCTCTTAGAACAGAAAGCAAGTCTGCCTTTTAATTCTAACTACAAGGAACAGTAGCATAGTTGGAGAGTGTGAGGAGTGGTTAAACCTACTCCTGTAAAAACCACCCTAGTGTATACTAGTGAAGAAAAAGGAACAAGTTATATTTGACACACTATGGGTCTCACAGCAACTAAGGAACTATTCTAGAAGAGGAATGATATTTGGGGATAAGACTATGGTTTAAGTAACAGATCGGCAGATCAACAAATATATTAACAAACATCTTAAAGTTGTCCTTCAAACCCTCATGTATTCTAAAATAGTAAGGGGAATTTATGACACTAAACATTTTGGGGATGCAAACAGTGATATTAAAGTCATTTGCTTGCTCCAGGCTCTAACTTTTCTGTTTAAAGACTATATGTAGAAATGCACAATCAATAAACTAAATGCAAACAAAAGCTTGACTCACTGATTAAAAATAAAACTAATCTTTAAAGTACAGCAATTTTACTGGTTGAAAAAATGACTTTAAAAATCTTTTAAAATCTTACCTTTACAGAATGAATATTTTATTTGGGAAAAGTAATTTTAAAAACATCTTTCACTGAGCTAAGAAAAACAGTGACAATAACTTTTCCAAATCAGTAAAATTTTAATTTTATTTAAATTTAATTATTTTTTGGCTATTTGTTTTTTGTTTTTACTTTGCAAAAGAAACCATTTCTTTTTGCGGTCCACGACATATTGTTAGTTTCAACTGTTAGCAAATCAGACATCACAAAGATACAAGGATCTCCTCGGTTCAAGCAATACTTCAAAAAAGATGGAAATCTGGCATAATGAATTTAAACAGCACTGTCACTTGAAAATATAACACAATATAAATAAATAATAAAATATTTGTTTTTTGCTCATTGGATACAAATTGCTATAAAAGTTCATCATGAGATTTTCTACCAAAATAACAATTTATTGATCACAATGTATCAAGAGGCTTCAGAACTTAGTGAATAAATAAATATTCTTTGGTGCCCTATGATGAGAACACAAATAATGATTCTTCCAGTGCAAAAGGATTATGCTTTAGAATTCTAAATCTCTATATTTTCTTACCCAACTTTATATAAAAGTGAACAGATCTAAAAAGAAAACCACACTGAAATTGTGACATGCATGATTAACATATTGTAATTCCAAATTATTCTCTTTCTAATAAACACTATGGAAAAAACATGATAAAAAACACAAGAGCATGAAAGATTATTCTAGCCATATCACCCTAAAAACAGATTACATCTGGTTTAACCTTTTCAATCTGAAAAATAAAGGTTAGATGAAAGGTTTCATTCTGAGGGGACTCACATTCCAAAAGATCAGCCAAGGTCTTAGTGCGTAGAGCAACAGGTCTCTTGGTCTTGTCATTGGTGATGGCATATTCCTGCATGCCCAGCTCTTCTGCTACTTTTGCTTGTGTTCTGTTATTCACCAAGGAGCTGCGTAACAGCTGTCCCAAAAAACAGAAACAACTTTAATGGACAGAAATATTTCTTCTTTTTCCCTTTAAGTCTGTTCTCTTATTGTCATCTTGGCCCCAATCAGCACAGTAGCATCAACGGACTTTTTGGTTGTTTTATAGTACAATCCTGACTTCAGATGTATCCTGAACACCCCCAACTTCCTTCTAATTATTAGGCTAGAATTCCTAAATCTATTTAAACTTACTTAAATTTTCAGTTTATTCCATTTACTTCTCCAGATTAACAAGCCTTTTTGTCATCACTGTGTAAAATGGAATCATCTGCTTATTTTTAGTAACAGTAACCCTAAAAACTAATTTTTAATACTACTTTAAGATTTTCTTGAGGCATTGAAGATTTGAATTTAACTGTATTCATTCTTAATGTGATGTGAACTAAGTTAAATCTTCTGGGAAGATATTCAGTGGACAAGACGTTTTTAGGAGAATTCCTAAAGGGAGGTACTTGAAGTAGGAAGAACAATTACAATACTCTATGTAAGAAGTAATGAGGACTTGGCCTGCTAAAGTAGTTTGCTGTGTGAGCAGTAAGAAGGGGAAGGATGTGAGAGCTGTTGTGGAGACAAAAACAGAAAGAACTGGGAACTGATTGGATATTAAAGTAGGGAAGAATGAAGTATAGAAGAAAATGTGGGCATCATGAACATGGGAAACTAAAAGAACGTTAGTACCTTCAACAGAAATAGGGAAATGCAGTAAGGGTATCAGGGTTTTAAAAGGAAATGAATTCTGTTTTATACATGCTGAATTTGAGAGGTCTCCAGGATATCCAGCTTGAAATGTCTAATAAGCAGGCAATGATTCAGGTACAGAGCTCAGGAGAGACTCAGAATGAATATAAGAGTCACCTAGATGAAATAACAATTAAACCTATGGGAGCTGATGAGGCCATGAAAAGAGCAGAGGTAAGAGGGCCCAGGACAGCACCTTAGATACTTCCACAGGGAGTGAGCAGGATGTGAAATGACTGTCCAGCAAAGGAGTCTAAAGACTTCTGATAGGTAGGAGGACCAGGAAAGACTGATGTTATAACAACTGAGAAAAGATGATAACAGTGTTAAATGAAGAGAAGTCAGGAAGCCCAAGGAAGCACTGAGAACTGACCATCAAATTTGGAGGGAGAAAGAGAGGGGAAAGGGGGAGAGAGAAAGGAAGAGACTCACGTGGTATGTGTGTGGGGTAGAGTGGTGGGGTGGGGGTTGGTTGCTGAAGCAACAACTGTAGAAAGCTTTTGCTAGGAGATTGACTGAGAAAATGGAGGAGATATTAGGTGATAACTAGAAGGTATGGTAAGATCTACTAAAAGATAACAGAGACTTGGACATGTTTGCAGGCAGTAGGGAAGGAACCAGTGTAATGGAAGAGAGTAAAGGCAGAGGGGGACTATTAAAAGGGTAATCTCCTAGAGAAAATGGGAAGGGATGGAATCAAAGTCACATGCAAAAGTTGCCCTTAGTAAAGAGAAGGGCTACCTCATTTTTAGAGACTATAGAAAAGGAAGATAGTAGAAAACGATGTCAAAGGTTTCTGAGAAGAGAAGGGGAGAAGGAGTTCACAGTAAATGGTTTCAATTTCTTTTTCAGTAAAGTAAGGAGAGCTCAGCTGAGGATGGAAGGGGAAGTATGGAGACTTGAGTAATGACAAGAATAGCTAACATTTATATAGAGCTTACTAAGTACCAGACACTATGCTAAGCACTTTATAAATATTATCTTATTTGATGCTTGCAACAATCCTGGGACATAGGTGCAATTATTATCCCCATTTTACAGATGAGCAAACTGAAGCAAACAGAGTGATTTGCCCAGGGTCACACAGCTACTAAGTGTCTGTGGCTGGATTTGAACTCAGGTTTTCCTGACTCCAAGAAAACTGGACCCCCTATTCACTGCATCACCTACCTGCCCTACAGATTCAGAACAGTTTTTGTGGGAAAGGGAACCAATTAGGAAAGAGTAAGGATTGCCTTGACGCAGTGAGGGCCAGGCTGAGGTTAGATAACACAAATTCTGGTTTGATACCCTGGTATGCTCAGTTGTATGACTTCTTCCAGCTCCATTTAGCAATATATACTGTTAAACTTGAGGTTTCTTTCTGTTGGCACCCTATGGTATCTATTTCAAATAGACTTGCTTTTGGTAGCAAATATTTATGGGGATTTTTCTTGTATTCTTTCCAGAAGTATGTCATTTCAGACTTTTATTTCATGATGGTTTAAAGAAAGATTCATGATCCTCAGATTGTGTCTGTGAATTCTATCTCCAAAGCCAGTCACCCTGGATTGCATAGAACTCACGTCCTTCAAATACTGTATTTTGATTTTGCCCCATCTCTTTAGTTTTGAGTTCCAAGTCTCCCACTCTTTTTCAGAGTAGCTACTGTGGGGGCAGCTAGGCGGTGCAGTGGATACAGCACCGGCCCTGAAGTCAGGAGGACCTGAGTTCAAATCCGGCCTCAGACCAAACACTAGACACTTACTAGCTGTGTGACCCTAGGCAAGTCACTTAACCCCAGGCAAGTCACTTAACCCCAACTGCCTGAAAAAAAAATAACAACAAAAAAACAGAACAGCTACTGTTCAGTGACTTTAGCTGACATGTGTTCTAAGTTGTCTATATTCATTTTAAAAAAAAATTCAGAGCTTTAATTTCCACACTAATTTCAGTCTTTGTTTCTTTTAATTCTTTTATTTCTCCTATGAACCTTCCTGCAGTTTCTTATTGTTCCATTATTATTTCTGGTGTCCCACATTTATTTCCTCGCTTTTTTTTTTTTACTCTATATAGTCATTATAGTGTATCCTTTCTAGATTGCTCATTTTTCCTTATCAGTCTCACAGTTAGTTTGTCTGTGATGCCGTTTTTGTGGTATCTTCTCCTTTTACCCACCCCCTTTTAGCTTCTCTGATACCTTTTCAGAACTGTGGGTTTATGCCAAATCTCCCTTTTAGCCTCTTTGTTCAGAGCCCCTTTCCATTAAATTGTAGATAGAACAGCTGGGCCCCTTCTCATCTATGTTTAATTGACAACTTTCATCCATACAGACTATAAAATTAACTGTTTTAAAAAAAGCAAGTCATGAGAAGCTTAAAGATAAAAAAATAACATTACAGGATAAATATGTTTTAAGTTTCAAAAAATAAAAGGTACTCAAATAAAAAGTTTACATGGATAACTGATAAAGTAAAAGAGACTATCATGGAGGGGAAAGGTATGTTCTGAAAATTGAAATATCAGAAAGCTAGTTGGCTAAATAGATAGAACTGTAGACCTGGAACCAGGAAGCCCTGAATTTACATCTGGCCTCAGATGGATTCTGTAACCCTGGACAAGTCACTTAACATCTGATAGCTTCAGTTTACTCATCTGTAAAATGGAGATAACAATGGCATCCTAGGCTTGATGTAAGAATAAAATTAGAGAATAGTTATCAATTACCTTGCAAACCTTAAAATCACATACAAAGGCTAGGCTTTATTACTCGTAAGAGAGAAAAGTAGGAAAGCCTATAAAGTTTAGTAGGTCTGGTTAAAAGTTAGGTCATGATTTCTTAATCCATTTTTGTATCACAGCAGTCTGATAAACTTATAAACTCCTTAGAAAGTATTTAACTAACTGAAGGAGATGCTAAATTTCAGTTAGTAGTGAAAATGAAAATGTAATCCACTCCCACATCCCTCCCTCCCACATATATGTTCATACACTCCCTAAAATTTATTCACAAGGGTCCATGGACTCTAGGTTAAGAACCTTTGAATTAGATGAACCAAAGAAAAACTTGATAGATACCACCCTACAAAAGTTAGGGAGAGGTTAAATGTCAAGAAACCAGCTAAAAAAAAAATCAATGGAACCACTTATTAATAACAATACAAAGGGTATATGTATTGTACTATATTATTTATAGGTTAAGAGTATGGGAAAGAACACTTAATTTATAGCTAGAAGTTGAATCTTACCATCTGTGTAACCTTAAGGAAAGAAATTTCATCTCTCTCAGGGCTTTTTTTTTCTTCACCTGTAAAATGAGACTGGCTGGATGATCTCTCTGGTCCCTTTCTAGCTCTTAGGTCATATGATACTATGGATCTTATGCATAAATTTATATTGATGACGAACTACTTTCATTCTAACATTCCAGCTATCTCTCAACTTCAAGTCAGAGGGTTCTTAATCAAGCAATCAAGTAGTAATGCAAACAGAAGAGGAAAAGGGCTTTTGAAAGGGCTTATTTAAGCAAACCCAAGGATATACCAAAGAGCAGAGTCCCTGGGAGCTGGTGTCATATAAATAATTTTTCCCATAACTCAACGATTGGCTCCAAAAGTCAAGTGAAAAGGAGACAGAAAAGTAATAGTTAAATGAGAACATCCAGCAATGTCTCACTTCAAAATAAATCTTCCTACTTAACAAATAGAGAACAGAGCCAGGAAAACATCATGATAGGACAGCAGTATATTTCATCTCCAGAAGCTGATATTATTAAGATCCTATTTAAATAAAAAAAAATAGGATACTGATGTTATCAAAAAGTTAGAAAATATATTAGACAGTAGTTAAGACTCCTAATTGAGGGTAGATATTCGATATGCAAATACTGTTCTAATTATACCAAATACACTATTTTGGGGGAATAAGAATGATAAGAATACTATTAAAAATTGAAATTTATGCAGTGCTTTAAGTTTTGCAAAACATTTCATATATATTATCTATAAAATGAGGAGGTTGGAGCAAATGATCTTTGGAGATGCATTTCAGGTCTAGATCTACAATGCTATGACCTCATTCTGATGCTCATTAACACCTTCCTCTGACACACTTTGAGAACTGAAGCAAATAATGTAACCCCTCAGTGGCCTAGACTAAATTGTATGATTATAAATTGCAGAACAGATACTGACCTACTAAGCTCGTTGAAGCCCCTTCCTCACCAGATAATCTCCTTTCTGCAGATGAGGAAACTGA